TCTTGGCCACACCCCAGCCCACTCCTTGTTCAGCCCCCTGCTCCACCCTCCTCAGAGAGCATCAAGAAGGATGCAGAGCTGGAACCTCCTGCTGCCGCCCAGGCTCAGAGAGACGCTGCTAGCACAAACCCATCTTCTGACCTGATGGAAATGGAGCCTGACACCATGGAAACAAAATCACTGACTGACTCAGTGGTTTCTTCCATTTCAGCTGTTCGCTTGCATGGTGACCAGCACAAGCAGGAGAGTGCAGGTGATGCCATACATGTGGATGGTGGCCTCCAACCTTCAGATGCTGTACATCGACCCTTCCTGTCCCTGGAGGCAGCTGTGGCCCTTCCTGGGGGACAAAGCAGAGCTGCCCAGGAAAGTTCCTCCATGAAGACAAATACTGGGTGGCCGCGTGAGGAGAGCTGTGTGGCCACCGGAGGCTGGCTAGCCCAAGTGGCACTGGAAGAGGTAGGTGAGGTGATGGCAGCCCAGCACAAGGCTGGCGATGTACACCCATTCCTGGGCCACGAGGTGACCTGCCCTGCTAACAAACACACGCTGCCGGCATCAGCTCATGGCCCCAGCGTGGCCTCTCCCTGTGAGGTGGCCCAGGACCAGGAACTACTCCCCACCGCTGGGAAGCAGGGAGCATGTGAGGAGCCTGTCCCAGCTCCCTGTGAAGAAAGAAAAGCTAATCATAACAGCTGTGGTGAAAACAGCAGTGGCCGCGCCTTGTCACAGGCAAAAAGCAGACAAGTAATAAACAAGGAGGCCTTACGGAAAGTGCACAATAAAAATCACATAGGTTTTCCAGATGCAACCCAGCTCTTAACAGATTGCAGCAGCACTTCAGGGGTTATAACTCGCGTCTCGTGGCTCTCATTTGGGGTGAAGACAGACCTCACATCACCCAGCCCATCTCAGGAAAGGGCAGATATCCCACTACAGGTTTTGGCCTCTGAGAAGACCAGTGGGAATCTGAGAGCTGATGGTGTTGGAAGGGAGATGCAAACAGCCCCAGCTGACCCTCCCTCTGAGGAAGAGTTGGTAAGCAGCCAGGAGCTGGGTGAAGGAGAGCCCAGAAAAGATGCAGGAAATGCAGCTTACAAACAGCTGCGGCCTGTTCAGAGTCCTCTTCCCACAGAACGGGCTACTGAGGTGGGGAAAGACTCTCCTCTTACTCCATCTCTAGGACTTTCCATCTCCTCAGGCCCAATTCCCTTGGGCTCATTGGGGAAGAGAGCAGGAGACCATGGGGCTTCAAAACACTTCTTCCTCTGCTTTAACCACAAGAAGGATGAGCAGACTCCTGACCTCATCATGACCAGGTCCCTGGGTTTTTCCACAATGAAGAAATCACCACAGCTTGAGATGGAAAAGTGCAGCTGTCGGCTGTCCTATATCAGCTGCTTCCACAGGCCTGATGACAAGGAGGAACACGAAACCACCATCCCCATGCGCAGCACATTTCTGGGGCCTCTCACCACCCCACCATCTAGCAGCTGCAGTCTTCCTGGGACACCTGTGAGCAGCTACCCAGTCTCCATTGCTACGGACGTTGCATGGTGGGACCCTCATGTCCAAGCCCTCAGCCAGCTGAAGGACCAAGCATGGATGAGCCCTGCAGATTTCTCCTGCGTCCTAGCCTACACCACAGAGCTTCAGGAGGTTGTGGGGAAACTCTCAGGGAATGAAGCGTCCCACCTGCAAGATCAATGTGCAGAGCAGGGTGCTGAGAGCAAAGGTGCCCTTGGCTTAGCCTCCCGTGACCTGCTGTCCAGTTGCCAGGACCTCCTGAAAACAGAGCAGCCCCTCAAAGAGCTGCAGGGTGTGCTGAGGGTGACATTTGATCACCTGGTTCAGCTGGCAGTGACCTGCTTCCAGGTGACGCACTGCCAGCTGTGCAGGCAGAGGCAGCAGGACCTCGGGGCTGCGCTTGTGGATGTGGTGGGCACCTACCACCAGCTTGTGCAGGCTGTTCACCAGCAGCTTCGCAGGCAAGGCTGCCCAGATCTGGGTGCCAAGCTCCTTGCCCGCCAACACACAGCCCTTACAGCTGCCATGTTTTGTCTCCTGCAGCAGTTCAGGGTACCCCCGTTGTTGTGACAGGGCTGTTCGGTGGCACACGAGTGCATTGGGTGGGGAAAAGCCCAGCCATGTTCCCTCTGTCCACTACCAGGCTCTCCCTTACAGGCTGTTTAGCCCCACAGCTTGAGAATGGTCACAGAAGGACGTGTCCATGCGTGTTGGCTTAGCTCCGCCAAGAGCCGCCCTGTCCAGTGGGGGTGGTCATGGGGCAGGGCATACCGCCTTCCAGCCTAGCTTTGTGTAAGTCTGCATACACAATCTGTATGTAATATGCAAACTCATAGAGTACTTCAGTGGTTTATGTATCTTGCCTGGGGCTTGTCCCTTGCCTCCCAAAGGCTTTGCAGGTGGCCAGTCTCAAGTTGTCTTAGCCACCTTCTGTCGCCTGTGGAGAAAGACAGAAGCCTTTCGGTCTGCCTTTCCTCCCGCTCCTTACTCTCCAGGCAGACTCTGAAGTAGAGTGACATCAAATTGCACCCTGGCCTGACATGAAGGAACCCAGGCTGCTTTGTCCACCTTTTGTGGCTGAGGATGTGTCTGGACTTGGAAACCTCTTTGGGAACAAAGCTATGGTATATTTAACTGCTTTTCCTTGAAAGGGCAGATGAGAGGATTGTTCTAGCCGAGGAAGGCAACACCATATCCTGCTCTTCTGATACGGTTTCCATGTGTAAGCCAGCTCTTCTGTTTCCATTTGCTGATGCTTGAGAAGGTCCCTGATTAACCCCCGCTACTTATGGATCCACTTATTTCAGAAGGAACGAGTAAGCCCTGAGACTGAAATGCCACCTTCACATCTGTGAAGGTAACCTATTATGCTGGGCTCCCTAGGAGAGGGCAAGCCCCTTTTCCCAACCTCATCGGTAGCTCTTCTTCCATCATGTGCAGTACATCCCTGGCTAGGTATGATCTGTTTGTTTGCCCTTAAAGGTCATCTAGCTGTGCGTCCCTCGTGAGTCAGCACTCTAGTGCTGGAGGTGTGAGCTCAGTGCCCTCTGATGAAGAGGGCAGAGGCAGGTTCCTGACTGCTGCTGTCTAACTCTGGCATGTTTGGGAGCAGCTGGCTTTCTCTGAGGGATGCCTGCAGCACGCGTGCTGTGTGATGAGCTCTCACTGCAGAAGGTCACTTGCCACAGCTGAGTGTGCTCAGGATGGAGGGGTCTGCACCAGGCAGCAGAGGAGCATGGGCAGGCCACAAGAGGTGGCCAGCTCTGCCCCTGCTCACATCTCCCCAAGCACCACAGCACCATAGGGACAGCATTGTCCTGTGGCTCTGCAATGCCTCAGGGAGGCCACTTTTTTCTGTCTTTAGTGCTTCTGGAGGGAGCGAAGGGAAAGTCCTTGCGGCTGAACCCTGGTGTAGCAGAGGATGGCAGCTGGGGCAGAAGAGCATGCTGCAGGCACCCCTAACCAGGCAGACTCTCACAGCCAGGCAAACACACACAAACATGAGCTGGGCAACCTTTAGCAGCCCTACACCAAATCCCCTACAGCTGCTACTCACAGTGTGCCTGCAGGCAGCAAGCTAGCTAACCAAGGGCAGTCTGCTTTCCTGGCTGCACAGGGACAGGGTGGCCAAAGCACCTTCAGCCACTGGGGAGGGTAGTGCTGCCAGGTGGTTTGGGTTAGCGCATGCTGCTGCCGAGCAAACTCAGGGACTCAATTAGAAAGTTAAAGCCTCTTGCACTGAAGCCCAGGTGCAGACCTCTAACTACAGACCAACTGATCAGCAGGAGGACCTGAAAAGCAAGAACTGGAAGAGCGCACAGGATGCTGAAAGGGCGCATACAGCACAGCGAAGCAACAGGCACTGGCAAACACAAATTCAGCCTATGTGGGGAGCAACGCCCTGTGTCCACCAACAGCTGCTGTTGCAGGCCCTTCTGACACTGTCTCACGGACACTGAATTCCACATGTTGTAAAAGGCTCTTGATGCGAAGAGAAATGAAAACATGTAAGCAAGTGAGATAATAATTTACCTGAGAAAACCTTCAAGTCCTTCCACTGGTGGTTAGAAATATTCACTGACCATGAGGGGATTGTTTGGTTTGGTTTTGTTTTGTGGTGGTTTTTTGGTTTTTTGTTTTTTTTTTTAGCAAAAATGGCTGAAGTAACGTATCAACTTAGATGCATCAAAAATGCTTTCTGCTGTGGCTGTGAAAAATGTTACTGCTCTTTGTGCAGGGCACAGTCAAATCCCAGATACCTTTCCAGGAGGAACATCAGGGTTAGTGAACTTTGCATGTCAGTGTGTGATGATGTACCATGCATCAGTAACTGTAAGGATGCAATGGGAGTTTAAGAGTAAACATTTTATTTTACAATTTTAGATTAGATGCACAGGATTAGCTATAGGTGTCAACAACTCACCAAGTCTTCAACTAGTTTAAAGTTGTTAGGACACAGTGCAACTCCACTAGGAAATCACTTCCCATCTTGTGTTCCCCAACTGGAACAGCACTGGCCTTTTCCATGGGAAGGAATTTTCATTGCCAGGGAGCTTTGCAATTCTAACTAACTTCACCTTACTTACTGTTTAATCAAGATGAAAGAAATACCTTAAAGCTCTCCTCCCTGTCCCAGAACAAGTGTAGTAGATGCAAGAGTCAGAAACACTCTTAACAAGCACTGCAAGGAAGCAAAACTGAATTCCTGTCAGTTTTTACTTGATCCCGGGGCTCCACAGGCTTTTTTTTTTTTTCTGTTCAAGGGCAAAAGTCATTTCCAGCATTGTACTGCTGAGGTAGAGTGTGTCACACTTGACAAGGTCCTTAAGATGTAAGCAGAGCTGTTTTCTCTATGCACATTCATGCTGGTGCCTCTGCTTGAAATTTGGAGCTTGCCTCTCTTGTCTGCGCAGTTCCTTAACACCACAAAATAAAGAGTTTTCTTGTGCATTGTCATGATGAGGTATTTCCACTTATTTCGCTGCATCTGGTAGCACATAGCCTTTTCCAGAAGAAACTCCAGCTTTCAAGGCTGCTGGCCAGCTTCGGGTCTCGTAGTAAGTTGATAAGACATCAAAGACTGTCAGGAATAGAGATGTACCATGTTGTCATACTGGTATCAATAGCAAGCTCTATAATACACACCCCACTGGCTGCAAAACATCAGGAAATAATAGCTGATGCCAGAGAAGGTTAGTATGGGGTTTACATTCTGTCTCATTTAAAATCTGATAAGCAAGTGTTTGAGGCAGCTCATTTGGATAGGACGACTATTTTGAGGATGACTTTGGGGAGCTCTGGTTAAGCAAAACAGAAGCTGTGCCAACTAATGCAAGGTGCCCCTATTCACCATTCTGTACTGCCTGTCTGTGCTGATGACAGTACATCCATGGGTGAAACCTACTGTGCTTCCACTGTTGCTTCTCACATGCCGTGTCTCCACATCAGGGGTCCCTTGGGGGACACAGTCATCTCTAGCAGCTATGCTTGCTGCTCTGCAGAGCTCTCTGCCACCTCCTCTGCCTTGTGCTCACAGCAATGCCAACAAAGTCCTCATGCCATAGGTAAGAACTTACTCGAGCTGGCCTAGGACATGATCCCCTCTGTAGTCTCTAGCAGCAAGATGTTCATATTACAAAGCCACAGACTGCCAGCAGAGGTGGAGGAACACGGGCACATCTACTGATGTGAGCATGTGTCCCAGCCCATGATCATGAGATGGAGCCATCACAGTGGTGGTGTGCTATGGCACACGAGCACCCCACCCTGGTGGTGTGAGCCTTGTCTTGATCGAGCCTGACACAGGCCTGACAACTTCTGTCCTCCCTTGCCTGGAACTTTGTGTAACTTGTAGCAATGGCCGACTCCTCATATCTCCCACACTAACTATTCACTGCTTTGTGCAAATTAAGAGTGATGCAAGGCCTGCTACCCTAATAACGGGCTGCTGCAGAGCACCCAAGACCTTCAAAATGGGGCAGCAGGGATAAAACCTAGTAAAAGAAACCTCTGCTCCCAGTGTTTCCCCTATTACTCAGCACTGGGCCTCCACTTTGAAAACACTGGTGCTTCAGTGCTTGATAGCCTCCCCCCTCATCCAGTCCAGGCAAGTGACAAGACATCACAGAATCACAGAATGATTGGGGTTGGAAGGGACCTCTGGAGATCATCTAGTCCAACCCCCCTGCCAAAGCAGGTTCACCTACAGCAAGTTGGACAGGATTGTGTCCAGCTGGGTTTTGAATCTCTCCAGAGAAGGAGACTCCACAACCTCTGGGCAGCCTGTTTCAGTGCTCTGGTACCCTCAAAATACAAAGGTTTTTCCTCATATTCAGACAAAACTTCCTGTGTTTCAGTTTGTGCCTGTAGCCCCTTAACCTGTCATTGGGTACCGCTGAAAAAGAGTCTGGCCCCGTCCTCCTGACATTCGCCCTCAAGGTATTTGTAAGTACTGATGAAATCCCCTCCTAGTCTTCTCTGCTCCAGGCTGAACAGACCCAGTTCCCTCAGCCTTTCCTCATAAGAGAGATGCTCCAGTCCCCTCATCATCTTGACATGGCTCAGCCTCTCACCTTGATTAATGGCCAGTGTCTCTGAGTGGTAGTTCTTGGTGTTAACAGTTTTCACCATGTACTCACGAATGGGGAGGCGGGCTGTTTGCAAGGACTGCTCTTCTGCTCTTTGCAGAGTCAGCTTCTGCAAGGGAAACAAGAACAAGGTGCCCAACGTGCACAAACTTGCAAATGCATAGCATGCACATCATTTTGGGTACAAGCAGCTACGAAGCCGGTTAACTGTTCTGGGGCTCATTTCACCGAGACTGCTGCAGTCTCTCTTAGCCTGGTGCTGGATCCAGGCAGAACCCTGAGGAAAAGTGGACAGGGGCACAATAGTGATGTCTCAAATTGAGGCAGCAGCAGCAGCAGTGGGTGCTACCAATGGGATGTCTCTGCTCTCATGAGAGAATGGGGCAGACAGCACCTTCAGGTTCCGACAGGCTACGACCCACCTTGTGAATGCTTTCGTCCACCAGGCCTCCGAGGACGTACACTTTATTTGGATCAATATCTTCAAGGACTAGAAATAAGATAAGCACTTGCTCACCACCATACAACAGTAAAATCCTGTACTACATCATTATCTAAGCAAGATCCCACTTCCATGAGAAACCTGTGGCAAGTCACCCTTCACCCTGGAGCCTCAGACCATGCAGGAGGCTGAGGCTTCAGAGACAGAAGTGTCTGCCGGAACCTGCAGGTGAACTGAAAGGGCGAGATCAGATGCAGGTTGAAAGCACAGAGTGCCACAGATACCATACACTGCTCCCTTTAACTGTTGTGTGTTCTGACGTGTGGCTGATCTGGTCAGTCTGATCTCAATCTACTCTGCAGATGCCTCTCCACTGTCAAGGTCCACTACTAAAACCTTCCTCCATCCTTACCAGATTCTTTATCAGAGTAAGGCACTTGCATAAAACACAAAAACGATCTACGTCCCCAGGAACATGTGGCCAGTTAGAAATGGAGGAAGAGGAAAAAATAAACACAGCAGCAAATTAAGCAATAAGGGAACACTGTAGCTGCTGCGTTATTTCAGAGAAAGATATCACTTAGACTGTATCCAAAACTGCCACAGCATCTCTACTTTGTAGTATTACAAACTGCAGGGGGTCTACACACAGGTTTTAAGTTAAGTCTGCTGCAGATCACACACAGCCCTGAGTTGAAACCTCATTCCCTGTTAAAACAGATTGAGACAGGAATAGATTTAGCATCAGATCTAAGTACACAGTACCACTCATGCAATTTGAGGCAGTGAATGCTTGGAACTAAATCACCTGAAGCATGAAATAGTCTCAAAGTGAAAAGCTTAAAAATTAACCTTTTGCCCTAGTTCCCCTGTGCCTAAAGCATGTAAAATATTTACCATTCTCAGAGTCAGGAGTGAGATAAACAATTGCATCTAAAGGAAACAGGTCCAGGTAACTTTCTTGAGTTGTATCCATCTGAAAAACGCAAGACAGGGAGAGAAGCAGCCTGTTAGCCCAAAGTCCATCTGCCAGAGCAAAACCCACTCTCAAACACAGAAATACACTGGAACCGACATTACTGCCTTAGGTGTTTAAACTCCTACAGACAGAGTGGGGTTAAGTTGGAAAATGTTTCTGTATAAGCACTGAAAAACACAAATCTCAAAACCTGTTAAATTATGTTCTCAACAAAATCCCCAGATATGGTTTGAGGAAGGGAGAGCAGCAATAATTACCTAATTTTAAATGAGATTCTAATTCTTGACAGATTCAGGAATCTTCACTTCAGGCGACTTTCTCTCCTCAGTGTTACCAGGTGCAGCCCTACATGCACTGTAGAACACACGGCTCAATGTCACCGCCATAACCTGTACGTGTGGGTCTTGTGCTTCAGTCAGATCAAGCTCAGTACAAAAACTCAGGACAGGAATGCGTGACCTGCCCAAAGCCTGATCAAGCTTATGTGTCTGCCTGTCCCCAGTATCACAAATGTCTTTGCAAAAGTAGCATCTGGAGAAGGAACTTTCCTCCTGCAGGCAGTAGGGACGTGAGCTCTAACCTGAAGGCCTTGCATATCACTGCCAAAGGGCAAGAAGATCTGACCTTAACCACTGTCACTGAACTGCATTCCCACACCACTCACAGCTCTCATCTGAGCCCACTCAGCCTGTCTTGGGTCAACGCTGAGGGCCAGCACTGTGGCTGCAGGGTGCTACGAGCCTTGAAAGCACTGCGGTCAGAGACCCTTACCAAATAATTGGAGAAGCCGTCGTTCATGCGAAAACACTCTTCATAGATCAATGAGCCCACCACAAACTCCGTCAGACAGAGCCAAAACGGCTTCTCAGCCCGCCTGTTTGCCCCGTAGAGTCTCCTGATCTGGGAAGCGAGGCGGCTTGTTTCCTTCCAACAAATAACAAGCACAGTGACCCACAAGTCTAGGGGCAGTGGGTAACAGAGCTCCATTCAGGGCCTGCAGACATCCATGACACTCATGTCACCGGCTGGTTGCTGAGCCTCTGGAAAGACTGTTCCTGGGGAGCACAGCTCAACTACAACTGGCTGGGTGTGCAACTAGTCAGTACTGGAGACCAGGCAGCCAAGGGCAGGCCCCGGGGAGGGGTGTGGAGGGACAGGTGGAGATGGGAGTGGACAGCATGCCCCCAGAGGCTGAGCTCAAGAGAGCCACTGTGTACACCCTCATACAACCCGGCTCGAGCTGAGCTGGAGGGTTTCTTAAGAATTTCCCAGCATAGCTAAAAAAAAACCAAACAGTTACTT